CCCCCCCCCCCAGGAGGCACAACAGGGGACAGGAGGAAAAGTTGGAAGATAAAAGATCTGCTTCAATGGAGAAGTCTACACTGTCCCCCCCCCATTCATTAGTGAATGGAAACTCAGTATGTTTTTAAAGTATTTAAGTTTTGTAAGTTTTAATAACATCTCACTTTCAAACAGACCCAGGCTCAGTCCATACTAATGGCAATAAACTTTACAGAAAACATAAGTAAAAATATTGAATTTGATATAGAATAAAACAAATGAATGTCACCATGAGTTATATCACAGTTCTCACTAGAAGTGAAAAGTTAGATTTTATCCCAAATTAACAGCCTACTTTACTGGAATGTTTGGGTATTAGTTTCGATACCACCAATTAATTCAGATTCAAAATGAAACATGAATATGTCATTTAAGTTTGAAATGACAATATCAAAGAGACTCTGTCAACAGAAACCCTTTGAATAGGATGCACCACACTTAATTTTTCCTTTACGATATTATGCCCTGTCAGGCCAATGTGACTCAGTGGTTGAGCATTAACCTAGGAACCAAGAGGTCATGGTTCAGTTCTAGGTCAGGGCACATGCCCGGGTTATGGGCTCGATCTCCAGCAGGGGGCGTGCAGGAGGCAGCTGACGAATGATGTTCTCATCAATGTTTCTCTCTCTATCTCTCTCCTTTCCTCTCTATAAAAAAAATATATATATACATATACATATATATATATATACACATATATATATATACACACACACACATATATATATGTGTGTGTGTATATATATATATATTTTAAATGCCCTATGAGTATTTTGCTATTTTAGCAAGGCTCTGGCTCTAAGGAATATGAATTCTGACAAGCAACTAGAGGCCATTTCACTCCCACAACCGGAAAAAAACTACTGCAAGGAGAGCCTCTGATGCCAAAGGCTAGTTAGCACGCATCAGACCTTGTGACATCCATCCCACACCATCCCAAAAAAGATGGCTGCATCCTCCTGAAATGGTTCTTACTTTTTAATTTTATTTTTTATCGATTTTAGAGATGGGAAGGGAGAGAGAGAGAAACACCAATGTGAGAAAGAAACATCAGTTGGTTGCCTCTCCTGCAACCTGGATATGAGCCCTGATTGGGAACTGAGCCTGCCACCTTGCGGTGGATGGGAAGGCACTCCAACCAACGAATCCACACCGGCCAGGGCTAAAGTGGCTTTTATTTTCAAACCTGTTTTCTGTATCACTGATGTTTATATTCTGTAGCTTTGTTAAACACTCACCTGTGATTTTCTGCAACAAAGGTGACAATTCAGACTCCTCACAAAAGACTTGAGCCAATGCTTTCTTCACTTTTTCTTCAGTTTCAGCCAGGTCTTTGTCCTCTGTGAACTCTCCAGTGACAGAATAAATGTATATTAGGAGGGTCAACAGCTCTTCAGGGCTGTAGTCATCGCTGGTCCTCTGATTTGAAGGCTTAATCATGGGCAGCAGCTGATTTAACACAACAGGCATTGTCGACTCCTTGATGCTCTGAAATAAAAGGTGGTAGCGTGAAAATATGTGATTCTTGTACAAAAATGTAATTCATGCACTACATCAGATAGGGTGGAAACAACTCTGTGATGTTCACTGCCTAGATTGCTTCTTATTTGTTTGTTTTTTGTGCTGGAGAGAATTCTGCAAGAAATTTGACACTAGAGTTATTGTTTTGAAAGATCTAGTTTATAAAACAGTTGGTCAAGTTGTAGACCCTTTTATATTATCTTACATATTGCTTAGAGTCCACTAGTTTTAAAACTAAAAACACAAGTACTTCAGACACTAGAAATTTAAAATAAGAATAATGTTTGTAAAGTAAATGATTAAAAATAAAAACATCAGCTCTAGCAGGTTTGGCTCAGTGGTTACAGAGCATTGGCCCACAGACTGAAGGGTCCTGGGTTCGTTTCCAGCCAAGGGCATGCACCTCAGTTGCAGGCTCAATCCCTGGCCCTGGTCAGTGAGCGAGCAGGAGGCGACCAATCAGTGTGTCTCTCTCTCACATCAATGTCTGTCTGTCTGTCTCTTTCTCTCTCTCTCTCTCCCCCCTCTCTCCCTCTTTCCCCTTCCACTCTTTCTGAAAAGCAATGGGAAAAAATATCGAGTGAAGATTACAAGAAAAAAATTTTTTTTAAATAAAAATAAATACATCACCCAGCCAGTGTGGCTTAGTGGTTGAGTGTTGATCCATGAACCAGGAAGTCATGGTTTGATTCCTGGTCAGGGTACATGGCTGGGTTGTGGGCTCAATTCCCAGTAGGGGGTGTGCAGGAGGCAGCCAATCGATGATTCTCTCTCATCATTGATATTTCTCTCTCTCTCTCTCTTTCTCCTTCCCTCCCTCCCTCTTTCTTCATCTCTTTGAAATCAATAAAAACATATTTTTAAATTTAAAAAATTTAAAAAAATAAAAACATGCCAGCACCTATATATCCAAGTGAATGCGGAACTCCTTCAAAGGAATGACCCCAGGTTTTGCGGCATACTTTTTTTTAATATTCTCTATATTGGTAAATATCAGTCCAAATAGTTTTTGTTTTGTTTTTTATAACAATGAGAAGTCATTTTCTACTAATTCTGGTGAACAGAATAAGGGGTCAGACTGGGTAACGTCACTTGGGGTTCAAGATATCTTTGGGTTAGTATGAAGTAATTCACCATAACACTTTGAAAACATTTTTGCGTTTAGCTTTTCCACCAATTTCTTGAGTGATATTTAGCAGAGAATTTCAAAATTCCTTGCATGTGAAAATAGCATTGCATTACTGCAGTAACTGCATAAATTCCAAAGCACTATGCACATTTCTAGTACAGATTCTGAGGTTTTTTGGTGAATAGATAAATCCCCATTTTAAATAATGTGATTTAATTTCACCTCTAATATAAAATAACTCTGTAAAATAAAACTCAACTATTGTATTTATATTAAAACCAGGGGCCAAATGATCAGAACTTGCAATTTTCACATTATTCATTCAGAAGTGTTCACTGAGCATTTGCTATGTTCCAGGTACTATTCTAGGTCTGGGGATACAGCAGTGAGCAAAATAAATCCCCTGCTCTCTCATAGAGCCTACACTCTCATTGGGGGAAACAGATGATTAAAAAGCCAAAGAAGTAAAGTATATAATATATCAGATGGTGGTAAAACAGAAAAATAAAGCAGGAAAGGAAGATGGACTTTAGGGTGTGTGTAGGTGAACATGAACTGCTTTAAAGAGGAAAAGCCGTGTGAATAAGGGAGTATTGGAATAAAGACATGGAGACTCTCTCTCCTTCTGAGTGAAGTTGGCAGCAAGCAGCGGAAAGTGACTGTACCAGGATGACTACCCAAAACAAGCTTTTCTTGTCAAGTCACTTCTACACCTGGGAAAATGTGGATATATCATCTCAAGGTTAAGGTTCACAATTATATTATTTGGTACATGAAAAACAGCTGTTACCATTTATTTCCACTAAAAATCTTGGATGTTCACAATGTATCACACAAAATAAAATGGGAAGTCTTTGGAATGAATAAAGTACAAATGGCAAGAAGGGAACAGAGATTTTCCTGTTACGTGGTGACAAGACGTGATTCACCCAGTATAAGCACGCCCGCTTCTCAAGGAAAGCGGCGGAAAGGTCTGAAGGCATCCTAGAACTGTACCACGGCCTCAGGATTCTCTTGAGAAGAACCTTCAAGTGCTCTTTCTTTGCTTTACAAGCTGCCAGACGCAATTTAAAAGAAAGGAGACGTGTGGTTGGCCTGTTAAAAGAGGGGCTGTGGGGGTTGCGGTATTTTTTTTTCTTTTACCTTTTACTCTATCACTAACTCCTTGGATGACATTAAGCAGATTCCTTCATTGCTTATATCCCATTTCTAAAAGCAAATGTATATATCAAGTATCTATCCTACAAAAGGCCCATGATTCTTTCCCCAGAACAAAAGGATTTTTTAAGAGATAGTTACAAAAAGCAAAATATGGCAGGATAATCATCATAATCATTTGAAAAGACTCACTCATTAACATCTGGCCACCAGAGCATCATTTTCAGGTTGTTAATCTAAGATATGTTGCCAGAGAGCAAAATCCCTTAATAGTCACACTCTAGCAGTCTCCTATTGGCTAGGTAATACCTATGCACACCAATTTCTAAAATTTTACTCTTATCTGCTTAATGCAATCCAAGAAGTTAATTATTAAGTTGAATATAAAGTCAAATGACCAGTCACAAAGAGGCATGAGATACAGCAGAAATAAAGAGGCTCCATCTCAAAAAGCCTGGTTCCAATCCTGACTGTTCCACTATCTAGTTCCTTAACCTCTTAGAATCTCAGTAAACCTCTTAGACTCTCTTTATCTCTAAAATGACATGATATAACTAGAGGATGGTTGATTTTTTAAATTATAATTTTGTCAAGTTCTCCATTTTCACTTTCTCCCCCCTTCCCCCCATTTTTTTTTTTTTTTTTTTTAAATTACCATTGGTGATGGAAGGCATCAGATAAATCCTAACAGATACATTGTACAAAATGCTTGGCCGATACTCTTCAAAACTGTCAAGGTCATGAAAAACAAGGAAAGGCTGAAAAACTATCATATACAGATGAGGCTAAGGAAACATAATGACTAATGTAATTTGGGACCATGGAACAGAGAAAGGACATTAGGGGAAAACTAGTGAGATCAGAATAAAATCTAGAGTTTATACTTAATCATAATAGACCGATGTTGGTTTCTTAGTTTTGACAAATATACCACAGTAATGTAAGATGTTAATAAGCTGAGAGATATACAGAAAATCTCTGCACTATCTTGGCAACTTTTCTATAAACCTAAAACTATTCTTAAATAAAACCTTTCTTGGGAAGGGGAGAGGGAGGGGAGGGGAGTACAGAGGAGATCAGATGAGTCAAACACAGGTGTATTTTGATCTCCTTTCTGTTAGTCTGAAAATGCCAAGAAAGACAGACAATTTCAGCTTAGTATGAGGAAGAACTCCTACAATCAGAGCCAAGGTAAGGGGCTGATTTGGGAAGCAATAAATTTCCCATCAATGGCAAAGGGAGGCAGGTGATCATCTGGCAAGGGTGTAAGAGAGGGAATTCTGTGCCACCTTGGCACAGGTGAACTAGAGTTTCTAATGCTATCCATAAAATCATGGCTCCATACGGGACAGGTATTCATCTTCTGATTTCAACTCTTAGAATGACACCTCAACAAGAAGGAAGGAAAACATCAGTGATTCCCTAAATTGAAACCATCTTAAAAGTGAAAGCAAGCATCTGAGGAGGATTAATAATAAGGATATGGGAGTAAGATTATATGCCTGAGTTTGAATCCTGGCTGTATACTTGTTAGCTGTGTGACTTGGGGCAAGTTACTTAACTTCACCAAGTCTCAGTTTCCTCATCTATAAAAAGGAAATAATACCACAAATACTTGAATATTAAGCAATCCCAAACCATAGTCATCAATTTTCTTTTTTATTATTATTAAATATATCTTTATTGACTTTAGAGAGAGGGAGGGAGAGGGAGAGATAGAAACATCAATGATGAGAGAGTCATTGATCAGCTGCCTCCTGCAGGCCCCCCGCTGGGGATCAAGCCCGAAACTCGGGCATGTGCCCTGACTGGGAATCGAACCACAGTCTCCTGGATCCTAGGTCGATGCTCAACTGCTGAGCCATGCCAGCCAGGCGGCACCAATTTTCATAATTCAGGACAATTACTTAAACTACTTTGTGGTTTAAAATAGAGTAATCCCTACCATGGGGCAGTCTTTGTAAGGACTCAAATGTAAGGGGTCACCCTTTTTTCTGAGGGCTAGTTTTGGGGCAAACACTTTCTCTTACATTTGAAGATAGACAATAATAGCTGTTGTTTCATAAGGTTGTTTTAAAGATTTAATAATAGAAATAAATCACATAGCCCTGTGCCTGGCACATAGCCTCAAATAAATATTAACTATTACCCCAACTACTATCGCCCACCGCTCCTTGGCCTCCTTTCTTCCCCAGCAGAAGTGATGGAGATGATTGGTAAGGGAATGAAGTACTTCTAGTAATAGGAAGTTAGCCGTCTCAAAGGAGGGAGCAGCAGCCTGAAAACACGGGATGTGAAACCACATCTTGGAACTTAACTACAAAGTTAGTCAAAGGTGAAAGGCAACATAAACATATTAAACACTGCCATTAAAAAAGCACACACAGAGCAAACCACAACCAAAGCAAAGGAAAAAAAAGGACTTCTTTATAAAATACCAGGGATTAAATTTCTTATTCATTTTGCTATAAATGGGCCTGCTGGTAGGAGGTGGAAGACTAGAGCTGTGTCTAGGGTGACAAAACTATTCTGTAGACTGGGGCTCCTGTTATTTTTGAATAAGTCCCCAGTAACTCCATACAAAAGGCTCTCTGTAAAATGCATGTTATCTTTAGAAAATCTAACTTTGGGGCTGAATTAAAACACCTCTGCAAAGTCAGTCAGTCTGTGTGCTGGCTAC